TTTTCCTTTTCCAATGAAATAGTGTGAATACATTTTCAGTCCAAACTGTCAAATAAGTTCAGTCTAGATAAAAAATAAGTAAAAAGGCAACATTGTACAGTGCTTAAAAACATTAGCCTTTTGCCAGGCTTTGTCTGGGTTGAGTACATGCTCTGACATTTGCTGGCTGTTTATATCTGGACAAGGAGCTTAACTCCTATCCCCGCTTACTCACCTGTAAAATGCAGACAAAGAACTATTGTGAAGGCAAAGGGCAAAAATGAATATAAAAAAATCAGCAAACCATCTGGAATGTAATATGTTTCTAATTAGCTTTGGTACAATAAGTGGAGACAGGCAAGTACATTAAAAGGTATTGAGCATCATTAGTATCTATTACTCAAATATATTACAAGCATTATTTCACATAATCAAAAAAAGAGAAAAATCATCTCAATTTGAAATAAATACAATATATATCTGATGACATTTTAAAATTCTAAATATAAATCAAAAGTGTCTTTTATAATTATACTAGAGGACTGGTACACAAAATTTGTGCAGGGATAGGGGTGTTCCTCAGCCCAGCCTACACCCTCTCCAATCTGGGACCCCTTGAGGGATGTCTGACTGCCCATTTAGGCCCTATCCTAGGGGAAGTTGGACATCCCTCTGATAATCCAGGACTGCTGGCTCCCAACTGCCCTCTCCTGCAGGCCTGCCCCCCTCCCAACTGCCTCCCCTGCAGGCCTGGTCACCCCTAACTGCCCTCCCCTACAGGCTTGATCGTCCCCAACTGCCCTCCCTTCCAGGCCTGTTTCCTCCCACCTGCCCTCCCCTGCTGGCCATCTTGTGGTGACCATCTTTGACCACATGGGGGAAGCCATCTTGTGTGTTGGAGTAATGGTCAATTTGCATATTACTCTTTTATTAGATAGGATAGAAGCCTGGTGCACAGGTGTGGAACAGCTGGTTTGCCCTGAAGGGTGTCCATGATCATGATGGGGACTCCCTTGGGACATGGAGTGGCCTGGGTGAGGGGCCTGTGGTGGTTTTCAGGTTGGCCCTGCCCCCCAGCACTAAGTGGAGGACACGGCTAGCTGGAAGCAGATATCTGAGATTTATTGATCTTCTATATTTGAAACTTTGTAATCTTGAGAGGAGGCCAGGGTCAGCCATGGCAGGTGGGAAGCTTGGCTTCCTCCACTGCCAGGGGTAACCCAAGCCTCCTACTTGCTCCAGCTCATGGCTGCTGCCATCTTAGTTGGGTTAATTTGCATACTCACTCTGATTGGCTGGTGGGCATAGCAAAGTGATGGTCAATTTTCATGTTTCTCTTTTATTAGATAAGATTTTTCAACATTAGGAGTTTTGGTTTTATAATAGTTGCCATAAAATGCTTGTGTGTGTGTGTATGTCTGTGTGTGCACACTCATGCATATGTATGACAGGTAAAGATAGTGATCCCCATATTTGCTCTTGCAAAAGCCATAAACTGTAAAGTTTTCACCCAATCATTGTAGGGTACTCATAGAGACCAAGGAATTTTCTCATGTGTAGTAACAAATAGTGTCACCTCCCCCATAATATCTGCTCTTTTCCTACCTTTATACTCAGCCTCTCTGACAGATCTGAGCAAATAAGGACTCATACCTGGCAATATTCAGTGAGCGTGTTATCAGTAACTCCAGACCTCAAAGCTGAGTTTGTTGGATGCCATGGAAGCCTCCAGTGGCCACTCACCAATTATCACCATCTTTGCTGCTGGCTACCAGTGCTAGAGAGATAAGGATGAAGGCTTCATTAAGCCAGCATGAACTTGTCCTTTCTGGAACTTTCTTTCATTTAAAGCCATGATGTGTTCTATTTAAAAGTGGTGAGCCAGCATTTCTCTCTTTGGTGTTACATTTTATATCAATTTATGAATAATTTTTACTATCCTGAAGAATGGTATGTGTCCCTCATGGCTGGGAAACCTTATGTTCTTATTTCCTTTGTTAAAAAAAAGTATTCATTCTTTTTTTTTTTAATATTTTTTATTGATTTTTGTACAGAGAGGAAGGGAGAGAGATAGAGAGTTAGAAACATCAATGAGAGAGAATCATCGATCAGCTGCCTCTTGCACACCCCCTACTGGGGATATGCCTGCAACCAAGGTACATGCCCTTGACCGGAATCGAACCCGGGACCCTTCAGTCCCCAAGCCGACGCTCTATTCATTGAGCCAAACCGTTCTCGGCAAAAGTATTCATGCTTGAGGGAAAGGATTCCTTCTGCTTAGGAATTCTGCTTAGTTCCCTAACAACCACATCTATTTCTATATGTTGAAAACCATCAATTCATGGCAATATATCCAATTCTAATACAACACAGGGTCTATTTCCACCTTCCTCTCTTCCATATGCATAAATTCTTTCTCCAACAGTGAGAAACCTGGTTTCTATTATTCATATGTATTTGTTCAACCATAGCAGACATAGTAGTTTCAGAAATACTAACTCATGTGTCTAAGGTTAAAAACAAACAAGAAAGTCTATTCATTAGAGTTGAACATTTGTTTACATAAATATAGAAGACATACAGTCCAAAATGGCATTTGAACATTATTTGAATTGGTTCTGTGGTGTTTTTTTCCCTTTATGGTGATTATTTTATGTATTTAAACTATGGTTTAATTTATTTTTGTGTTTATTCCATTTTTGGATTTTTCTTCCCACCTTTGTTGGTTATATTTTATTTTAAGAGTATGTAAGCATTAACATAATTTATAAGTTAAAACTATACCAAAAGGAAGTCAGAGAAGAGTCACTCCCTCCAACCAATTTTTCCTACCCCTTTGACACTTTCCAATCTGCCCACCCCATTCTCACCCACCCACTGTATACAACCAATTTCCTTAGTTTCTGGTACACTCTTCCTATGTTGCAAAAATGTGAAAGTACAGGTGTATTTTTGCATTTACCCCCCTTTTTTTTTTTTTAACACAAAAGGTAGAATACTATCAAAAACATTTTTGCACCTCGCTATTTTTTATTTAACAACCGGTGCATGAAATTCATGCATGGGTAGGGTCCCTAGGCCTGGCTGGCGATGAGGGACAGGGCAGTTGGGGTTCCCTGAAGGCACTGAGCTTGGTTGGCCTGATGCGGCCCACTCACCAGCCTGGCCCTCTGCCACCACTGCTGGTTGTTTCCTTCGGTGCCACACCCGGACTGCTCCACCACTACCACCAGTCACCTCCTCTGTAGGGAGACCAGCAGAGCAATCAGAGGACCACGTTGGCTGGCCTGGAGCATGTGGGCTAGGGGCAGCTCCTGCATTGAATGTCTGCCCCTGGTGGTCATTGTGCATCATAGCAACTCATGTTCCACCATTCCTTCTGCTGTTCAGTTAATTTGCGTTTTGGCTTTTATTATATAGGCTATATAGTGGAAATCACTCCAGATAAGTTCATAAAGATTCTTGTTCTTCAAAAAAAAATGTATAGTGCTACCATATGTTGAATAAACCATAGTTTATTCAACCAACTTTTTGTGTGTGGGCTATAGACTTTTTCAATATTTTGCAATTACAAATACTATTTCAATAAGTAATGTTGCAATATGAATTATCATATGGTTCAAGAACAATATAACATTTCTAGAAGTGATTTGAAGATAAATCCCAGAAAGATGGCTGAATTAAAGAGCAAATGCACATGTAGTTTTGGTACACATTGCCAAATACTCCGTAAAAACTATAGCAGAATGTGTGTGTGTGTGTGTGTGTGTGTGTGTGTGTGTGTGTGTTTAATTTTTACAATTTAAGAGATGAAGTGCTATGTCAATGAGGTTTAAATTTCCATTTCTTTTTATGAATGGAATAAAAATTTATTTTATTTTTAGTGACCATTTTCATTTATTTTTGATAATTATTTGTTCATGTTCTTTGCCCATTTATTATATTTCTCACATACACACACATACACTTTTTTTTTTTGAGAGGTGATACATATAGCTTCTTAATAGCTTTTACATATCGGTAATGGGTGGTTTAAACATTCTAGCTCTAATAGAGTCAATTTTTTTATTTTCATTTTCCTAGCAAATTATTTATCTAAGTTCCCAAATATATTTGTATAGAGGTTTTAATAGCTACCCCCCTGCCACATCTCTCTTTATTTCTTACATTTTAATAGCTGTTTCTCCCTTGCCATCTTAATTTTTTTGTTTTATCTTTCTCTCTGTATTAAGCCACCTAGTCATTTGTCTATCAGTGTTTCCCAAACTTTTGACATATGTGTGCCCCTTCTATAATTTTTGTAATGCTGATACCCCTAGTACTCATGAGAATGTAGAATTAGGTGTAACTAAGCACAATGCAGTGCATATCCCCACCAAACTCCGGTGCAACGCCTACCCCCACCAAACTCTTCCCGTACCCCTCGGGGTACACGTACCACACTTTGGGAAACACTGGTTCAAAACACAGAATTTTGATTTATTAATTATATATTTTTATTTTCTACTATCTATTTCATTAATTTTTATTTATGACTATCATTTTCTTCTTCAATTTAGATTTATTCTACTGTTTTTCTAGATTTTTAAATTGAGGAGTTACTTTAATTTTTTTAGTAAAAATGTTTGAGGCAATCATTTTTCTTTTTATCACTACCTGTAAAAGAGTTACTTGACTGTTGTTTAACAATCTTAAATAACACTGTAGGCAAAGACTCATCAATGATAAATATCTCTAAAATACTTATTTTTTTTTTCTTCTGGGGAGGAGGATATCTTTGTACATATTGTCAGATGGTACAGTCTTTTTAAAAATTTATCAACTAAATAAATAGGATTATCAAATGTCATAAAGTAAAAAGAAGTAAGAACAGATTTTTTGTTGTTGTTAAAGTTTAATTTTATAGGTAAATATTTTGGAAATTTTGTTCCATATAATCATTTAACTGGGATGAGTCTAGTTGGAGTAATTATGAGTCCTATAAAATATTGCACAAGAATCATACCTATGTGGTTGTTTCGGTATGTTCTTTATTCTAAAAGCTACTTTTGTTTTTAAAGGACACCATAAGACAAAGGTAGATCCAATCTTTGAATTCATTCTTTATACATGTAAAAAATCATGTAGTAGGAATGACAATGATGTTACAGGTGTGTTTTTTTTTTTCCTCCAAGTTGTTTCATGAAACATGTGATTCTTCCTTTTAGTCCAAAATTCTAGTGACCTAAATCCTGTGGTTACAACTTTAGACATCCTCAACGTGATTTAATTCGTTCACTTTAAAGTAACAAATGTATCTAAAGTCTTAAGTTGGCATCGTGTTGCTTTTGTAAATTGATGTATGAGAGAGATTACTGTGAAGATCCTAGAGAAAAAGATGCATTGCTCTTTGGAATCAAATGTGTCACTAACAGGCTTACAATTTCCCCTCTGGGATGTGTCAATTAAAAATGATGCACCTTTCTCCACCAGGTCTAAGTAATGCAGCCCTTTTCCACTTAATCTTGTGCATTGCGTGTTGAGCATTTCAGAAAACTTTGTCTTGACATAGACAAGTAGCCTTGCACTTTTCCTTGAGCAATTCATGCTCACAGCCTGCTGTTGTCTTCAAGGAATCACAGTTACTAAGGAGATCTTCATACTCACAACTATTGGCTGTAACAAAAACAGATTAGTTACAGGTTATGATTTTCTTTAGTAGCAGCAAAACGATTCAGATTTTCAAAATGCATGGGTGTAGAGGGAGCCTGGCTGGGCAGTTCAGCTGGTTAGAAAGACATCCCAATACACCAAGGTTACAGGTTTGATCCTGGAATCAACCAATGAATGCATAAATAAGTGGAACAACAAAGCAAAGTCTCTCTCTCTCTCTCTCTCTCTCTCTCTCTCTCTCTCTCTCTCTCTCTCTCTCTCTCCACTCTCTCTCTCCTCCCTCTCTCTCCTCTTTCTCAGTTGAATGCTTATGCTAATAGGATAATTCCAAGCTCTTTAGCAAATAGCATTCAGCAGTGGTATAAATATTCAACTTTTTTCTTCTTTAGTTGATTTATAATTTTGATACCGTCAATATTCTGAATTAAAGCTTTATGAAAAGAAGGCTAACTGAAGATGAATGAGTTTGAAAGGTAAAAATCTCAGTGAATGGGTCAGCTCTATTGTTCATAATTTTAATGAAAGCATCCCAACTATGAAAGACCAACAGCTTTTTTTACTTCTATTCGTAAGAACTTCGAAATGATATATATGACATTTATTTTATTCTCTCCTTTTGCTACAGTATGAACCAATTTTGTATTCAGATTGAATTTTTGTCATTATAAAGTACACAAAGCTACTATCAAATGATAGGGTAAGTGATCATTTGTCAAGTCAAACATTATGATTCCAATTATACTGTAAAATATGGTAATCAGCATGATGAATATATTAGCACAAAAGAAATTTAATATTTGGTTTGCCTGTCTAGATTGAGCCATAATGTTCATCTCACATCTGCAGATTTATTTTCATTTTTTCAAAAAGCCACCTTTTGTGTAATGATACTTTGATGAAAAGTTACCAGAACCTTGTGTAATTAATATTAATGAGCTTTTTATAGTCACAAAAGCCATTGATGGTAGATGTTTCATTATGTTAGAGCTGGTAATATCCTTTTCATTACAAAACATATGTAAGTTATGAAAGTGTAAAAATGTTTCCTTAAACACATCCTGTTGAGGAATATTTCTGTATTTTGCATCAATACCTGTATTTAAGTTGGTAACTTTAGGAGAGTTCTTAACCCATAAAAAGAAAAGAACATATCAACTCTTTATTATAACAGCAGGTAAAATCACTTCAAACTTACTGCATAGTCCATTGTTACAGCTAGTAGGGCAACTGGCACAGGGTGTTCCTTGTTGGTAAGGGGTATTCTTTTTACTCACATTATTGCCTCTGAAATTTAAAAAATCATAAAGTCAAATATTTTTCACTTTGCTGTTTCGCTTATACTCCATGGGTAGCCTTAGTCACCAAATATACATAGTTATTAATAGTGAAAAGTTACAATTCCCAATGTGTAATTCAGATGGCCTTCAAATTAAGAAACTACCTCAAACATTGACCCATCTCCTTCACTATTATTCTGTAGGTTGAACAACTAAATTGAAATAACTGCAATCTACACATTTCAGAGTATATTTCAACACTCTCTTCACCTCCCACAAGATGTGGTTAAATTGGTAAGTCAGTGCACCCCACTGTGCTGGCTAGGGTTAGACCACATCTCCTAGACAGACAGGAGAAACTCTTGGGGCTAGGGAGTTGTAGTATGAAAGAAAATACTCAATGCTACCATATCATTTATATTTGGAAGATGATAAAATACCACAATTTCTCTGATATGTACTAGGGACAGTATATACTTCTAGGCAGGAATGATGTAGGAGATTTAGTTTGGTGTGGGGAGGGGTCCCCCTGTCTCTAATCATAAGAAATTTAAGCTAAGAGATCCGTTGAGATTAGATCTTCGATATGTCCATAGGATTTATTGTGGATGACTTCAAATATATTGTTGGATGAAACAGCTTGTTGCCTGCTATAAGTCAAGGCAGTATGGGGTGATTCATTATGGAGCTGTTTTTGTGTGTGAAAACTGCTGAGGCTAGGTCAGTGTGGCTCAGGGGTTGAATATCAACCTATGAATCAGGAGGTCACAGTTCGATTCCCCATCAGGGCACATGCAAGGAGGGGGTGTGCAGGAGGCAGCTGAGCAATAATTCTCTCTCATCATTGATGCTTCTATCTCTCCTTCTCCCTTGCACTCTGATATATATGTTATTATATATATATAATAACATATATATAACATATATATTATATATATAATATATTATATATAAATATTTATATATAATATATTATATATAAATATATATATAATATATATATTTTATGATTATATATTTAAACTGCTGAGAAAGACCAGATGTTAACTTTTTCTGGACTCTGAAATATATTAAAGATCTCTTGAAGAACCTCTGAAACTCAAGAGAAGGAATCATTTTTAATGGTAGAAATGCAAATAGTTTGTAGATAAACAGGAGCAGAAACATTTTTGCAGAAAAGGCAGAAATCACAATCTTTGATCCCAAATTTGCCACTGCACTACCACCCCTTGCTTCAGTAGGGCATGAAAGTAGTGAGAACTGATGACAGCTAATCTAGAGACATGCACACTCCACATGCTCAGAGAATAATCTTGAGCACTGGGGAAAGGCAACTGAGAGAAAAGACATTGTTTTACAGTTGAGAAAAAGGAGCTTCACATTTATACTTGGTCTGAGAACTTGGTCTCTTATCTCACCTGAAAAAGCATTTCCAAAGACTTATTCCTTTCCTTTACTGAAACATATGTTTTTATTCTGATTTGTCTAATATATGAAAATTTAGAAGTATCAAATTGCAGATGGAAATATTGACATTATCTCTAAAGTGTATACTCACGCAGGACAATAGTGGCAAACATAGTAGTATTTTAGATTTTCTTGATTGGGACAATAAGCAATTCCACATCCAACACGGTAAGATGAGTACCAAACAAGCTACAAATCCACGAGGGAATATATAAAGAATAATGTGAAAAAAGGAAAATATTAAAGGACAAATACCAAATAAAAACTTGGAAAAATGTTACTACTATCGCTTGCAGCCATGTATGTCATGGCAATATTTATATGATTGAAATAAAAATCACACACTTTTAAAATATTAAATTTTTATGTACATTCACTGCTCTATCCATTTGTAATGCTGGAGAAATACAGACTGCACTTTCCAACCAAGAGTTTTGCAAGCCATCAAAATAAAATGACAGCTGCAGGTGAAGTACAGTCCAATGGTTCTGTATTGTACCTATTCGGGCTCTTTCCCCAAATTAAACACTGGAATGGGACATAATTTGAAGAAGCTTTCTGTAAGAGAGCATTTGCGGTAGAAATATTTTCATCATTCCCTTTACCTGGGTATAATGTCCAACCACTACACTGGAAGACTTTGGTCCTGAACCATAAACAAAATCGTCACTCTCATCAAACCAGTTTTGGAGTGCATTTGACCACTCAGTAGGGTCACTTGACATATAGAGATTCTCACCACATTTCGTACCTATGAAGGAACAGAACATGAGGAAAGCGATAAAGCTGCAATGGTAAAAGAAATCAACTATTTGAATACCAGGATCCTTGATATGTCTTCTGTTATTTTTTTTTTGAATCGACTATATGGTTCCATGCATTATAATTACACAGTCCATACAAAATACTTGATTATCATCAAAACATTTTTAATGAATCAACATAATCAAAATATCATCCTGATTTTAAAAGGTTTCATATTTGTAAAGAAAAAAATTAGGTAAAATTTCACAAAATTCAATTATTTTGAGAATACAAAATAAATAATTTCAGAACACCAAATGGCTACATAATATTACAAAAGGTCAGTGGATTAGAAATCAGAAAGCCTGGTTAGCTTTCTGATATATGTCACTATATCAGGTTGTGTTCTTGGGTAAGTCATTCCTTCCATGTTTTACTTTACTCATGAGGAGGTTGGGAGGAACAAATTAGATACTGCTTGAGAAATTATTTGTATAACAGAAGATCAATAAGCACAAAATGGCATTTATCATAACTATCTCTCCATATACAGATACTGTGATTACAAAAAGCCAAGTGTAAGTGACATTTATTCATAGTCTTAAAGTAATACACCAGAAGGATCCATTCTATTTTATTTGTCCACTGTTATTTTATTTCTTCTTTTATTCAACAAATGTTTATTAATTTACATACTGGTTTGTCGTTCCTCTGGCTTACTGTGTTCTAAAGTGCACTTGTTTGCCCACTTCTGGGCATTTATCATTGCTTCTCTGTTCCATTCCTAATTATTATAAGGAAAAAACATATACACTTAAGAGTTCACTCAGACAAAACATGCACATTGTAATCTGATTGGGATAAAATTAATTTGCACTACTTCAAAACTTCTTAAAATATCTCTGGTGTGTCTTTATCTGCCACAATGCCCATTTCCCACAAGAGAAATGACTATTTATGATAGCACAGCAGCCACACCTGGGTTTTTTAGTGATGGTACTTTTCTAAATATTGATCCCATGTAAAGCATTATAATTATACTAGAGGCCTGGTCCATGAAATTCACACATGAGGTGGGGGAGGGGTGACCCTCAGTCTGGCCTTCATCCTCTTGCAATCTGGGACCCCACCTTGGGGGATGTCTGACTGTCAATTTAGGCCTGATCCCGAAGCAGGATGGGGCCTGAACTGGCAGTCGGCCATCCCTCTTGTAATCTAGGACCACTGGATCCTAACCACTCTGCCTTCCTCATTGCCCCTAACCACTTGCCTGCCTGCCTGACTGCCCCTAACCCCTCTGCCTGATTGCTGCCTGATCACCCTAACCACCTCTGCCTTGGCCCCCACCACTGTGGCTGTGTCTGGAAGAACATCTGGAATAACATTGAGGTCGTTTGGCTATCAGGTCAAATTAGCATATTACACTTTTATTATTATAGATTTTGATAATAATAAGCTGATCTAGATTATTCCTAATTCCATTTGTAGCCCACTGTTTTCATATAGGAGATATTTAGCTTTCAGGGACTGTGCCCTGGAAAGGGTGCTATTTACCCTCAATGGCACTGATTCTGAAAGAAAAAGGGTTTATTTTAGACTAGAAAAGAGTGAAGAAAAAAAATGTAACAGCTTCACATTTGATGCCTGATAGTCTGGTTTCTAATTATGTCTTCCAAAATGTATAGCCCTGTAAACTTGATGAGTTGTTTAACCATTATAAAGTAAAACTAAGAATTTCTCCCTATAACATAACTCAAATAAAACAGCAAAACAGAGGCAGCATGTTGTAAGCCACAACAGATGCCAACTACCAGCTTATACCCACCACTTTCCTTATATTGATATTACTGCTTCTTACCATCTGTAGCATGTTGCTGGCAGGTGGAGAGACTGATTTCCTTAATGCATTGTGTTTATTTACAATATCTTTTTGGATATGCGTTTGAGTGGTTAACAAAGCAGAAAAGGCTGGATCCTAAAGGGAAATAAAATTAGGGTTTTTAAAACATTTTTGAAAAACCTTTAATATATAAAAGTACAGAAGTTGATTCAAGGAAGCAAGGACCACTTTAAAAAATGTTCAGTTAAGCCAATATTAGTTGCCAAGCATCACCAAGGAATTTCAGCCAAAGCTGTTACAGATAGGAAAGAAGTAACTTGAAGATTTGAGAATGAAAGTGTAATTCATAGCATGACAAAATTTTAAAAATTGTTTAAGGCCACAGATGCCCATTTCTAGTTTTAGGAAATTCTCAATATGGCATATGAGTGATAATATTTTATAACCACAAAAGTGCACAATAGGAGCCCTAAGATATATTCATTTACATATGATCGGGTGACAGCAAAAGGAATTAAGGGGAGGTCAAGGTTCATCCTAGACTTTGAGGGAACATTGACCTTGTATGGTATCTATATTCAGAGACAGATGTATTTAGAATGTATTGGGAAAAGAATATTTAGGCTCAGTTGAAATGCATTCAAAATTCTACATAACTCATTCTACCTTTTGTGGTTAGATTTTATGGAATCACTCAAAAGACAAATTTGCAATATTAAACAAATCTCCAAGGTAAATTGGAGGAAGCAAAGCCATCCAGTTATGGACTATTGCTGATTCTTTTCCTTTATTAACAGAAATAATTAAGGTATTAAATCAGTCACCAATACTTATTGGTTTATCTTTGTGTGTGGGTGTGTGGAGTCTAAGTCTGAAAGGAGAGTAGGGTGTGTGATTGTTCCATAAAGTTTATGTAATTTAATTACCTAAATTTATGATCATCTAAAATACTATTTCAATGTGTATTTAATATAAAAACTATTAAAGCAATATTTTCCTCTGCTTTTATACTAAATTGTTTAAATCTGGAATGTACTTTATACTTACAGTACAGCTCATTTTATTTTATTATTTCTTAATTGATTAAGGTATTACATATTGTCCTTATTCCCCTATTACTTCCCACCCCTCATTCATGCCCCCAACCCCATGTTGTTTGTGTCCATTGATTAGGCTTATATGAATGCATATAAGTCCTTTGGTTGATTTCTCCCGCTTAGGTTCTGATTAATGTTTCTCTGTTTCTGGATCTGTTTTTGTTCATCAGTTTATGTTGTTCATTGTATTCCACAAATGAGTGAGATCATGTAATATTTATCTTTCTCTGCCTGGTTTATTTCACTTAGCATAATGGTCTTCATCTCCATCCGTGTTGTTGCAAATGGCAGGCATTTTTTTTTTTTACTGCAGCATAGTATTCCATTGTGTAGATGTGCCACAGTTTTTTAATCCACTCATCTGCTTATGGTTACTTAGGCTGTTTCCAAATCTTAGCTATGGTGAATTGTGCTGCTATGAACATAGGGGTGCATATTTCCTTTCTGATTCGTGTTTCCAATCTCTTGGGATATATTCCTAGAAGTGGGATCACTGGGTCAAATGGGAGTTACATTTTTAGTTTTTTGAGAAAACTACATACTGTTCTCCACAGTGGCTGCACCAGTCTGCATTCCCACCAGCAGTGCATAAGAGTTCCTGTACAGCTTAGTTTAGACAAGCCACATTTCAAGTGTTCAATAGCCACATGTGACTAGCAGTTACTCTACTGGACAGTGCAGCCTTGGACTTTCATCTAGGTAATTATGCTAAGTGCTCTGAGCAACCAGTGAGTACTTTGTGATGGGCCAGACATCCCTGCCCTTCCCACTCTCAAAGTGCCTTGCCATCCCACAAAGTCACCTGGATAGGGCTAGAAGGATTTTCCACTCTAACATTACCTTACTTTCTGCAGGTAAAGGTGGAAGCAGGACAGCAGCCAAAAACACCACCACTGAGAGTAAAGCCATTGCTGGGAAGTAAGTTAAAAGAGAACAAAATAGTTCTGCAAAACTAGTAGTACATGAACAAGAGGGGAAAATCAATATAGTGAACATATTATCTCATAGCCACTATGATTCCCAAATTCATAATGTAACAAGCAAAGACTGCCATATGGTACCAGTAGAATAATAGTGGAACTAACATTGTCTCTGGTAGGGACAATCTATATATATAAAAGCCTAAGCGACTATTACGACCAAACCTCAGGAACAGCTGGTTGACCAGTCTCTATGACGTGCTCTGACCACCAGGGGGCAGATGCTCAATGCAGGAGCTGCCCCTTTGGTGGTCAGTGCACTCCCACAGACAACCTCCTAAAGCCCCTCCCCTTAGCCAGACACCCTCCTGCCACTCCTCCCCATGGACATCCAGCCCCCTCATCCCCTATTAGGGGGCATGGCTGGCCAACCTCCCTGGGTACCTCCCCCCAGTTACTCCTCCTCATAGGTCTCAATCGCTAGCCAGGCTGAGGGACCCTACCCTTGCACAAATTCATGCACCGAGCCTCTAGTAAAATGTAAACTGATGAACATGACCAATGTCCTTAAAGTATATATAATATATATAAATTGTCACATTTTTACCTTTTTCTATTAAAGATATTTCTAGTGAATTGTTTCAAAGTCATAAACATGGGAATTATTTAAAGCTTCTATTTTAGAATGAAATATAAATAATTCATTTAAGTTTCAATTTGATATAGTGAGTAAAATTTACTTGATTCTCTCAATAATAAAAATTTAACCATAAAGTTTTAAAAACCATGGATATATTAAATGTATCATTTTATCACTGGCAAAATAAAAATGATTGACAAATAACATGTTCACATTACAATACATGGGTCATCGCTTACTGTTGGTCTTCAGAGCAGGATGGAGTATCTGCTTTACCTGATTGGAAGAAGGGAAGTGAAGAGGTCAGAGCACCATATATATTTCGCCTACTTCTGTTTCAGCAAATTCTGGTTGCTCCAGTAAATCTAAGTCAATACATTTTTTAAACAGATTTTTTTTTTATACCCATAGCTTAAAATTTCATTGCCAGTTTCCTGACATTGTTTTTTTGACATTGATTTCCACAACGCTTTTAATCTGAGTAAAGTATGCCCTTCTTCCCTAACCAGCCTTCCCTTCTTAGGCCACCCTACCATTTGGATGCTGCCCTAGTACTTTTATAATAACCACTCCAGACAAGTTAATCACTTCAAAGGTAACTTGAATCCTACTTTGTGGCTGAACTGGTGTGGCTCAGCTTTCTGCGGCACTGACTTCCTAGTTAACTTTCTATACCTTATTAGTTGTGAACATAGTTTTTAAAAACATCAGTGCTGGGAAACCCTCTTGGAAATCCAGTTTCCTCTTCTGTAAAATGTGGATCATCTTATCATCTGTTTGCTTTGGAAACTGAAAGGCATAAAATACCTAACATAATGCCTGGCATAGAATACTCAACAAATGGAAATTATTAATATTTTCATTATTATCCTTTATACTGTGTGGTAGTTTTCTGAGCTCTTAAGAGCTTCCATAAATGCATGTTGTTTGATTAAACTGCTAATTTTAAAAGTACTTCTAATACCTGTATTTATTTTTTGCATGTATGGGGAATTTTATAGTTTGCATAAATAAAAATATAAAAATTTAAGGCACAGTGTATAACTATAAATATTACAACTGGCCACTGTTGGACAAGTATTAAATAAAGTAAAATTCCAGAAACATAAAACCTTCCTAAGTCATTATCTTCTTTCTACTACAATTGGAAAAGTTTCTAGTTTTCTAGGGAGAAGATTCAGATCACCTTTAGATATGTGTGCCTTTACTGGGTAGACAAATACCTGAGTTGAAGGTACTATCTCAAATGAAGTTAAACACAAATTAGAGGGGAAGCGTCAGATTAGCATGTTTTAGAGCTACTGGCAAACTAACTTACTGTGACATTAATTACATAACCTGCTGATTAATCCTTTAAGCACTAAATTATGTAGATTATACATTCATGACCAAAAAGATTATCATCACATGCCATACCTGAACCACCACACCATGAATCCATTAACCAAAGATTCCTATTGAAGAATTATCTTTCATAAGTTCTTCAAATTTTGGTTAAAATACTGCACTTAGTGGCTAGATGTACACATTCCTTGGTTACAGAGTTCCTAATAAGTCCACTGTACCTGTGTTGTAAGTTTCTTTGTATTATATATAGATACATTTAAGATTGGAAGGTTAATGTTATTTACATGGTTATTCACAATCAATCATTTCTAAAAACTCTAAGTTTGTGACTAGTCTTTTAAGAGCAGCATTATCTGAAATAGACCACACATTGTTCCTTACCCACATTTAGTTATTAATCAAAATCATACAGATCTCTTAAGGTTCTGAACACATATTTAGGGGTATTTTCAAAATGAGTTTCATACTCTACTTTGTAAGTTGGCTAATAACACAGTGGGTAGAGAGATGGCCAACACAGGCCAGGTAAACTGTCCACTCTACTCTGGTTCCTTTGAAGTGGTAAATGACAAGTACTTTCACATGTGGCCATTGCACCTTGTACAATATTTAACAGTGAGCCTGTGAAAGGTTAAGTCTTTTGTCCCCAATCCCTCCCTCCTCCCTGCAACTACTTGGCCCATAAGAGGCACTCAGGGCTGAATGAATGACGTAACCAGGATGACAGGTGGGCATTCATTGGGTATTACCACTTGAAAACAAATACATTAATAAATTCATTCAGAAACTAGTGTTTTTAACATTATGTTCAAAGCTAGGTATTTGATTTGAATAATTACTGAAAAGAGAATACAAGATTAAGAAACCTGCATTAACAAAATGGAAACCCATGTTAATATTTGGTATTATAAACCCAATCACCTTTCCACAAAATAATTATTTGCAAAGAAAGAAAATTCTAAGTGCTTTTATCTTGCTCCTTCTATTACATACTCAGTGAACTATCCTTAGTATAAAATCATGGCTAGTCTGTACTTAGCTCCTCTCTCCTCCCCTGGCCTTGATTCAACATTTCTTGTACTATCAATAATTTATCCTTTACATCAGCCTGAGATTATACTTACAAAAAGAAAAATGATTATTTTTTTTAATTCCTTTAAACCCATATACATACATAGTTGAAAGTTTAGCTGCCATTCCCTCCTCCATCCCCCCTCACCCCTACCACTACTTACTAATAGAATAGTACTGTGCCCTCCGTTGCAGATGTTTTAAAACCAGGATGTCAGGGTTCTGCTGGGGTGTCTACAGGAAGAGCATGGTGTATGGTTCCATAATCCTGAAACAGGGTAAAAGAGGACATTTAACATAACGATGTGAAGCCTAGGTAGAATCACTCATCTCTGAACTTGAAACTCAATACAACTGTTTAGTCTTGTTCTCTAATACTTTGCTGTATTAATTTGGTCTCACCTTTAGGACCATACTCGCCTTCTGAGATCAGACTGTTTTGATGTCCTTGTATTTTATTCAAATACTAATAAATAATTGGGTTAATTGACATCCTTGGAATATCACAACCTAATTTCAAGATTCACAACTCCTCATCTAGGCCTCTAATCCATATACTCTTCAGAGGATAAACTCTGTAAGCAGACACCCACATAATGGGCATTTGCAACATCAATTTGGGTCACACCTATATTTCTCTTCATGTCATTTCCTGGTAGCCAGTAGAGGGCATAAAGCCCAGAAGATTCAACAGCCACAATTCTACTTGTTTGTAATAATACATAGCTTCTAATAACTGCGCTCAAAACATAAGCAGCCAAACTTCTCAAGCTGACTTCATGGAAGACCAGATTTGGAAATATGACTTGAGGCTTCGGCTATGTCTCAGAGCTCACTGTGTGAATAGAATGATTTATCCTTAAGATAGGCAAAGAATTTCAAGAGGACTCACACAGACACCCACATCGAAAGCATCTGGCGAATGGGCACTAAGCAACACAGAGAAACACCCTACCCGTGTACTGGTTCAGCCAGCGATGGGTACTAGAGGGCCGAAGAGTACTAAGGATCATGAGATCCCTCCCATCACAGGTGGTCCTCTCCCCTGTCTTTACCCCACCTTCCCCCCACCCCCCTCACCCCTACCCTCGGTCATTTCCAATTTCCCAGCCTGTTCTACTTCTTACCCTGGCTCCTGGGCCCAGATCTTCCTGCTTCAGGGCCAGAGCCAGGGTCAGGCTGCAACTGGCCCCTCCTCCGGCTGCAGTGCCTGGGAAACGGCCAGCCCGTCACGTGGGCGCCACGTCACAGGGCTTTGTGCTTCAGTGCAGCCAGGCTCCCCAGTTCTTTCCCCAACTCCCCCCCGGGTCCCCCCAGAGCTTCCCTGGAGAAAATCCTCCCATTCTCCCTGGTAAAAAAGCAGAGGTCTGCTCTTCTCCCATCACCATGGTGAGGAAGGTAAATGTCTGCTCGCACACCCGAACAGTACAAAGGCGATGGAGATGTATTGGGATTTAACATGCCCATAGCCAGGCTGAAAAGGAGATGTTCCTTTGCAGACAAGATCCCTTGTTTTCAAGATTTAAAGGAATGTGTTTATATATTAATTAGAGAATATGCTGGGTCTAAAGATGTCAAGCCAAGGATTATCATCCATCACCTGCTAGTTCTCTGTGCCCACGAGAAGAGGCTTAAAACTTCTCCCCAATCCTTTGAAACTCACATAGGCACAACTAGAACAAGACTTCCTTGTTTCATGGTGCCGAGTGCCACTTCCCCTTTGCAATGTTAAAATTCCTAGTAACAGCTGCACAGACATTATTTTAATTCTCATCTACGATATTTCAGTTCAGTTACAACTGGCTTAAAAGTCATCTTATATTGCTTTACTCTTATGGTTACATTAAATCAAAGTTAACTCCCGACAGATGGATTTTCTAAGTGTTTATAAATCCACTGGAGGCCCAGTGCACAAAATTTGTGCATGGGAAGGGGGGGTCCCCTCAGCCCAGCCAGCACCCTCTCTACTCCAGGACATCCCTCTCACAATCCTGGACTGCTGGCTCTTAATCGCTCACCTGCCTGCCTGCCTTGTTGCCACTAACTGCCCCCCACGCCCCTGCTGGCCTGATCACCCCTCACTGCCTCTGCGTGCTGACATGATCATCCCTAAATGCCCCCTGCTGGCCTGGTAGCATCTCATGCCTCCCCCTCCCCCCAACCGGCCTGGTTGCCCATGCAGCCTGCTTGTTCAGTTGTTTGGTTGTCCCTCACTAACTCCCCCTGCTGGCCTGGTTGTAGGCAGCCATCTTCTGAATGCTGAGAGTTAATTTGCAAATTACTCTTTATTATATAGGATTCCCAGATCTTTCTCACATCTATATTTAATTTTGGACAAATTTTGCTTAGAAAATCAATTTAACATTTCAGATACTTAGGTTCAGGCACCTCACACAGACACCAGAGAGGTGTTAGTGGACAGCCCCCTGAGTCAGCCCACTTGATTCTTGTCATGCTCCTAGGAATCAATTCAAATTAGTGACTCCAGATAATTGCATTGTGTTAAAACAAATTTATTAAGCAAGTAAACCATGCAAATGGATTAAAGAGTAAGGCAAAAATTCGGTTATCCAGTTTAAAGTGCAGATGGGTTCTCTGGGCTAATTTTAGGAGCAAGTGGGGTGGGGCAGGGCGGGAAGGGTATGCCTTATAGATTTTTCTGACTATAGGTTCTAAAATTTATCTGCTAGGTATCTTGGTACAGATTAACTTTGAAGGTCTCTTTCACTTTCCCAAAATTTATGAGAAACATCTGGCAATTTTTATCTTTGCTGGCTTCCCTTTCATGGAGTGAAATAAACTGCCCTCCCCCCCCCCCTTTGGTTTTCCTTTTATAAAAAGGACTTCTTTCTTTTGTGAGACCAGATTTTAGACCTCCCTCTTCTTTCCTTCCTTAGCAGTTCCAGGTGGATCAACTCCATGTTTACACTGTTTGGGGAGAAGAGGCATTAAAAATCCCTTTCTCCCCCCTTCGCTTCCTTTCCTCCTCTCTTCTGGATTCTTTCAGTTAGTGGGGAGGGGTATTTGCTCTCAAGTGTCAGTAGTTGGAGAAGATAATGGCTTGGTATTTACCAGCCAACTTCAAGCACCCAAATTGTTTGGTCTTGTTCAATGTTCTTGTTTTAGTTTCCTATTCCACTTGCTTAAAAAGTTTTCTAGCTTCTCACTCTCCTGTAACAAATAGCCACAAAATTGCTTCTTACTTTTTAGAGATAAAATTATCTGGTACATTTGTTCTTTTTTAGTGCAAAAAAAAAATCATTATTATCCTCTAATATGCTATAATTTACTGTGGATGTCCTTTTTTTTTTTTTTTTTTTTAATTCTTGGAGGCACCATACCTTCATGATTACTATTTGTCATGATTACTATGAGTATTGTAATGATAGATATTTTCAGGGAACATATACCTTGTGGGCAAAAGTAAGTTTACAGTTGTTCATACAGAAAATAATGTAATTATTAATAAATAATAATGCAAGAATCAACTTTCATGTACTCATAACTATAAGCCTACTTTTGCCCACCCCCTGTATTGGGGAATTGACTATGTCTCTCATGTTTATTGGTATAACTCCAAAGCTTATCACAATATTGGTTAGATAGGTGGCAGTTTGTAAATATTAGTTCAGTGACTTAATATTAGTCTGGATTAGATTCTTAGAGAATTCAAAGGAAAGGACATGCCATCTCTTTTCTTTAAGGTGTATAGTACTGTGGGAAAGATAAATACGTATAAACATTACCACGTAGTACAGTTTAGTGCTAAGTAGTTGAAACAGGGATATATGCAGCAATGGGGAGTTGCGTGAGTTGGTATTATGTGGGTAAAAACTAGATGGTAGAGTTTCATTTGAACCTGAAAAATGTATCTGATTTGATCAGAAAGGAAAACAAGTTTTGTATACCTGGTATGAAGAGCAGAAGCAAACAACAACAACAACAAAATCAGTGTACCATAAAGGCGTAAGTAGGTCAGAATATTAGGCTGTATAAAATGTTGGGGAAGCTTTGTAGAGAAGTCTAAGAGATTTGCCCCCTTGTATAACATGGGGAAGTAATTTTATTAATGTTTAGAGAGAAGGGAAATTACATGATCAAATGTTATTTCTTGAATGCTACCTGATCGCACTGTGCAGGGAGATTTGCAGAGCTGAGAGATAGGTGATGGAAAATACACGAGTGTGGTGACAACTTCCCATATTCATTTTCAGGCAGTAGAAATAGAACAAAAGATGGGGATGTGAAAAGTTTAAAAAAATTTAAAAAGCAGTGTTGATGAGTTTGATATGGAAGGCAAATCTAGAATTAAGAAACCTTTCAGGGTGAGAGTCTACACATGTTGGTGAGCACATGGAAAGCACATCTTCATTATTGAGGGGAGCGGTGCAGGAACCTTACTCAAGCAAAATCTGACACTGGCAGTGTGCTGGGCTTAAAGGAGCAGTGTCCTAGATGCTGAGAGTTGGGGAGAACAAGGTTCTTGCATGGATTCTGATGAGAAGCCTGCTGTATTTCTTACCCTTTTGCTTTACTTGTAAGGTGCTTCCTGTTCCACCTTGTAATCTCATGACTTTGCTAAACCTGCTCATTATTTGTATTAGCTTATGAGTCCTATTAGAGGTAGAAACATCAAGAAAGGTAATTTTAATCTGCAAATAATAACTTTCTCATCTATATGCCTTTAACTTATTTTCTTTATTTTATTGTGTTAGCTGTAAGCTTAAAATGTGAGCAAAGTGGTGCGACCTGACATCCTCACCTTATTCCTGATAGTGGCTATTCTCTTTGCCTGAGAGTTTCTTGGTTATTCTTTATTGGTTGTTTTCTCACTTTTCTTGTGACTGTTGTCATTACCTCAGAGAGTATTTACCTATCTTATTTAAATTAACATTTTCCCCTCCCAGCCTGTCCTCATATTCTTCATTCTCTTGCCCATTTCAGTTTATAACACTTTTTGCTTCCAATATTATATTAGGATTTATTTGCACATATGTTGTTTTCTTTCTACCCTATTATAGTGTGAACTCCATGAAGTTCTGAACTTGGTCTGTTCTGTTAATCACTATTTTCAAAGGAACTAAATAAATAGTTGAGTCATAATTGTTTCCAATAAATATTTGTTGAATGCATGAATGAATGATTACGCATCGTAATGATTATTATGAAAGGAAGTATAGGGAGCTATGAGGGGACGTTCTTCAGAATACTTACTCAAAGGAATGCCTAGGATACAATGACATTCAATGTGAAGGAACTAGTCTACCAAATAATTGAGGGATGAATCTTCCAGACAGTGTGAATAGCAAACACAAATGCCCCGAGCCAAGAAAAATCTTGAGAAGCTTGAGAGAATTTGATAAGATCATTCAATTTGGAGCATAAAAAATAAAGGAGAATGAAACAAAGTGAAAATAGATAGCAAAGTAGAGAAAAGTGATTTATCTTGCTAATGAATTTGAGCATAAATATGATCTTCAGTACTTGAGAGCTCTATGGGGATGTTTTGAAAGTAGACACATTAGGAAGTCCATCACTGTAGAGATTAGGAAATGTGTGCAGAAGCACCATCTGGGAGCTACATTGGTGCTCTTGGACCTATCCCTGTTTTGCCTTTGCCTCCTGACTAATATCCTTGAAATGATTAGTGCTCCTAGACACTGGATAAGCAACTGAGTTTGATTTGACAATGCAACCATTGGTATTACCTGAAAGTTCTTGAAAAAGACAAAATCAAACATTTAGTAGTGGGAACAACAAAATTTGGTGGTAGTAGGGGGTAAGGGGAGTCTGAAAAAGAATAACCAGATAATCTAGAGAACAAGTATGGAGCCGAGAAAAGTATATTTTCTTTACAATGCACTTTTTATTTTGAAGTCTTTTTATTTATTTGTTTGTTTGTTTGTTTGTTTGTTAATTGTAACCCAAGGATATATTTTCCAGTTGATTTTTAGAGTGAGTGGAAGGGAAGGAGGGTAGGAGGAAGGAGAGAGAGAGAGAGAGAGAAAGAGAGAGAGAGAGAGAGAGAGAGAGAGAGAGAGAGAGATTGGTTGTCTCCCACACAGGCTAGGAATTGAATCTGCAACCCATGTACATGCCCTTAATCAGAATAGAACCTGAGAGCCTTTGTGTGCAGGCCAACACTCTATCCACTGAGAAACAGAAACCAGGGCTATTTTGGAGTCTTTTTAGATTTACAGAAATGTTGCTAAAATATTACAGATAATTTCCACATACTCTGAATCCAGTCTCAGTTCCCTATAATGTTATCATTTTATATTATCCTGGTATATTTGGAAAGACTAAGAAATCTTCATTACTTTTAAAAACACTAGAGGGTCTATTCAGATTTTACCAATTTTCTCCTTAACGATCTTTTTCTGTTCCAGGATCCAATCCAAAATACCACATTGTATTTAGTTCTTGTGTTTGTTTAGTCAATCTGGTCTGTAATGGTTTCTCTGAACTTACTTATTGCTCATGATTTTAACAGTTTGGAGGCGTCATGATTAGTGGTGTTTTGTAGAATGTCCCTTCATTTAAATTTGCCTAATATGTTATCTCATGACGAGATTTGCGTTATAAGTTTTTAGAAATAATGCTGCAGAAGTGAAATACCGTTCTAATCACATCAGATGAAGGGTACAGGAGTCCACTTATTACAGATGATGCTAATTTTGATTCCTTAGTTAAGGTGACATTTGCCAGATTTCTCTACTGTGAAATTATTATTGTTTTCTTCCCATACTTGATTTCTTGGAAATGAGTCACAAAGGTCAGCCCAGACTCAAAAGAGAGGAAACTAACTTCTACTTCCTGGAGGAAAGAGTATTTATGTATATTATATTAAGTTCTTCTTTAAGGAAGATATGTCTAAGAGAAGAGGGTTTTAAAAAAGAAGGTGTGGTCATCTTCTGTACATTTTATGCAGATGAAGAATCAGAAGTCTTCATTGTTTTGGGCAAAATTAAGGTTGGGTTCTTTTTAGGAAGAAAAAAAATTAATTTAATTATAAGGATGGAAGCTAAATGAGTGAGAAGAAGGGTGAATGGCAGAGAAGGAATTAAAGACCACACATGTGAACCCTTCTTTGGATGAGAGACATTTCTGTAAAGTAAAAAGAAGACCCAGGAGAAAAAGATATTACTATTTGGAATCAAATTTTTAGTTAACATAAATGTGATTTCTTTGTAATAAATGTCAAGTGTAAGTAGATGTGGCTTCCTTCCACTTAGCCATGATCAGTCTGTATTGGGCATTTAATAAATCTTTTTTGAACAATTGCAGGCAGCCTTGCAATGCTCACTGACAAAATCATTTTTACAACCCATTTCGCTCATCATATCATGACAGTTAGAATAATCGTTGTCATGCTCGCAAGGATTGGCTGGAACAAAAACAAAAACAATTAGTCACTTCATTATCATTTTCCTCCACAGCAGCAATACACACAATAAATTCCATGTGAGTGAGGAGGAGCGAATAGTACTAACAAGTTGACATCATGAATTATGCTCTGATGGCATAATAGAACAAACAAGTTGTCATCATTCATTATGCTCTATCTTGAGGGACATAAGACCCCTTAGTTAAATTCACTGAGTAAGGCATCATTTGTGTGTGTGTGTGTGTGTGTGTGTGTGTGTGTGTGTGTGTCTGTATGTGTTGTTTTTCTGTTTTGTTTTGTTTTTAATTTGAGCTTTTCAAAATATTTCTAAAATAAATGACTGGCTTTCCTCCCTCAGAAAACAGGGTGAAATGAATTTAAATAAATCTTTATGAATCTGCACTATCCAAAAGTATAGCCACTAGCCATGTGGTTGTTTAAATTTTAATTTTAATTAAATAACTTCAAAATTTCAGTTTCTCAATGATACTAGTTACAGTTTATGTGCTCAATAGCCAATGTGTCTAGGGACTACTTCACAGGACAGTGCAAATATTGGACATTTCCATCATGGCAGAAAATTATATTAGACACTAATGCCACTGAACTTAATGCCACCAGCCTTTCTTTCAAGAGTGAGAAGTTGTTATGAGATGTGAAAGTAAAAAAAATATATAAAAATAGAATTTTATTATTATTATTATTGGACATTTCCACTTGGATGTCCCTCAGTGGCCACAAATCTCAAACTAAATTCATCATCCTACCTACAAGTTTGGCATTTCTTTGGTATCCCTAACTCCCAGATCAATTCACCTGATCTCAGATGAATGGTGGCCCCACTACAAAATAATTCAAACCGGGAACTAGGAATCTATCTGCACTCATCCCTTCTACTTTTTATGAATGCTTAACAAGCACAGGTAATAAACACTGGCTATTCTACTTCTCCTTGTCTCTCATAAACTGCCCATTTCTCTTCATTCATTTTGCCCGAATACAGTATTCTGTCAGGTGGCTTCTACCCAATTGTTTCTTCATACTACTGCCAGGAGCTCTTTATGAAACACAGTTCTGTTCTCATCACTCTTCTGCCTGAAGTCTTTCAGTTAGTTACTCAATACTAACAGGATAAGTTCCAAACTTCTTAACAAATAGTATATAGCAGAGGTATAAGTATTTTCTTCTTTAGTTTTAATAGCTTTTATATTGTAAGTATTCTGTATTATAGCTATATCATTCACTCAGAAAGAATGTTACAATTTAGTCAGGTGAAGGCATTTGAGAGGTAAAAATGAGTCAACTGTATTGCTATAATAATTCTAATAATGCATCCAACTAAAAAATACCTATTTGTACCTTCATTCATAACAACATTGGAAATGAGATATTATCTGACATCAATTTTGATCCTTTCTGCTAAAATAGTTTTAAGGCTTCTGTTAGCAAATAATACCGTATGCCAATTTGATAGACATTTTAAAAATACATAAAAGTTACTAACAACACAAAAGTGCAAATGATTATTAAATTAAACTTGATCATTCCAACTATGCTATGAGGAAAATGAGAAATTTAGTATGATTAATACTTTGGTATAGAAGGGACTGTATTTGGTGTGCCTGTCTAGACGGAGCTATATTCTATGGTCTCACACCTTTATGTTTGTATATATTGAAAATATTTTCTTTTGTAAAATGCCACCTTTTATATAATAGCATTAACTTGAAAAAAAATCATATTTAATTATAATAAATTATTTTCACAGAAACATTTCATACATGCCAATATGTAATTGGTCAACATAGTTACAAATATACATCATTGGTAGATGTTTCTTAGGTTACATAGGATAACAGGCTTTAGTTGAAAAAAGTACATATATACTGAATGGTTTAAGATGTTCACTTAAACACACTCTGTTCAGTAATTTTATTGTTCTCTTCTGCATGAAGTCATTGCTTAAGTTGGCTTCATTCAGAAGATTTCTGAATTTTTAAAAAATACATACCAGGTTATTTCATTATACTGATAAACTAATGACTTCAGACTTACTGCATAATCCTTGGTCACAGTTATTAGGACAGCTGCCACAAGGTGTTCCTTTTAGGTAGGGAGTAAGACTTCTGCCAACTCCAATATTACCACTGGAATTTGAAAGACAACATTTTTCAGTTTAGTTTATGCTCCAAAGGTATCAGTAATCACCAATATATCTGAGTATTTACTCAACGTTTTTCATTGTGTCATCTGAAAAACAAATATTGCTGATTTATACTCAGATAGCAATGCAAAATGAGATCATAATTCATACATACACTCAATTCCTTGACCATAATCTCACAGTCCGAGCAAATGAAATGGAATAAATAGGTCTAAAGTTTTGAAAGTACATTTTAATGTGTGGTCAGACATTCAAAACACTCAACACATGGGCCAGAACTATTAAAAAAAGATTTTAATGGATGGTTCTTTCAGAGATTTTCGTGTTAAATTTTGAGAAGTGAATACTTAAGATATTGCTGTTTTTTGACAAATTGAAAGATATTAGGAATTTCCTGAAAACCCTTTGAGGCCCAATATTTAGTCAGTTCTTAATGGTATGTACTACAGGTATTTTTAGATGAGCAGGAGTAGGAATATTTGAGTACAAAGGGCTGGAATCACTAGAAAGTCATTACCATTTGCTATTTCACCTTCACCCATGGCCTTACCATCCAGCTTTCACTTTCCAGATGTGAATTTAATATAAAACTGACAGTACCGAGTCTAGAGAACTACACACAACATACAGCCATGGAGTAACGCTGAGCCTCGGGAAAAGCAGTTGAGAGGGAAGACAAATCATTTTAATCATGGTGGAAGACAACTTAAGAATATTAGACTCAAATATGAGAAATTGGTCTTCTTTCTGAGAAGTTGATTGTATCTCAAATTCAGAACATATTTCTAAAGATTTATCTCTTCCCTTCACTGAAATATGCTTTTTTAGTTTGAGTTGTCTATTACATGATACTTTTAAGATATTAAATTGTTGATGGTATCATTGACAGCAAATTTGAAAGCATATACTTACCTGGGACAATAGTGGCAAACATAATAGTATTTTAGATTTTGGTGTTTGGGACAATAGGCAACTCCACATCCAACAAGGTAAGACGAGTACCAAACAACCTACATGCCCATAAGTGCAAATACGAGAGTACATTAGAGAAGGAAATATATAAAAACAAACAATAGAAAATAAAAAACTGAAAAGAATGTTACTGACACACAATTTCATACACCATATGGAAATATTTTAATTTTTGAATTAAAGTAAAAATCTTTAAAACTATTACATTTACATGTATATTCACAGCTTTATCCATTCAGACTACTCAGAAAATACAGAGTAAGTTTTCCTATTAAGAGCCCACATGCTTTTGACAAATGATGGCTCACAGCTAAAATACCCACAAACTGTGAAGACTACTCTTTACCTACTGGAAATCTTCCCCCAGATTCAACATTGGAATCAGTCCAAATTTGGAGAAACTTTCTCTTTAGGGCATTTATTGCAAAGTTTTATGTGTGTGTGTGTGTGTGTGTGTGTGTGTGTGTGTGTGTGTGTGTTTCATTTTTTTTCCTTACCTGGGTATAATGTCCAACCACTATATCACTTCTTTTTGCTCCATAACCATAGATAAAATTAATTCCCTCATTAAACCAGGTTTTGATTACTCGTGACCATGGAGTAGGCTTACTTGACATAAAGATATTCTCACCACAGTCCCTTTTACCTAAGAAAAAAAACAAATAATTCATGGGGAAAGCAATAAAGTATGCATTAGTTGGTATTGAGAGAGAGAGAGAGAGAGAGAGAGAGAGAGAGAGAGAGAGAGAAAAAGAATCATCTACCTGTTATCTATCTATCTATCTATCTATCTATCTATCTATCTATCTATCTACCTACCTACCTATCTATCTCTATCCATCAAGTTCCTGATCTTCAAACAAATGCCCATAGTTGCTGACTGTTCATTAATACATAGAGAGTTCCTTATCAGCTATAAGCCTAAATGAAACCAAATATGCCAAATGCATTGAGGTTGGTCTCAACATGCAAAATTTTGAGTAAAGTCTTCCTTCTTTAATATCTACTCCCCCAAGAGTGATTCATTTACAGATTAAATTCTTCATGAGTGTTTGCCTCCTGTGCTCTCAACTGTGTATTGTTAGCTTGCTGAAAGCAGAAAGCAACTCATAGTATTTCTCTTATTCTCATCCACACTTACGAGAAAATTTTCATATATAGCAACTTTAATAAATTTTTAGGGTAGTTATTTTGTGTAAATTTTGACAACAATCTTACTCTCAGTCTTTAAGAGTTCCAAGCATAAAGCAAATGACATGAGGAGGGACACTGTTTTCAAAGTTTATGGGTTTCCCTTTAATCAGCAAATCATAATGTCATAGGCCAACATCTGCTCAAAGAATTAGGATAAAAGTGCTTTGCAGCTCACAAACATTTCAATATACTTTTCAAACCTTGAAATTAAGATTTACACTTGGATGGCTTGAAATGTGATATCTACATACTTTTTAAAGGAAGTGTAAAGTACTCTTGAATAGCTCCTTTTTTAAGGGAAGAAAGAAGCTGAAATTTTAACAGTATATTAGGATCTTCAACACCAGTTATTTCAATCTTTTTCTGAATATAACTCACCCCTCTCAATAATTTCATAGAATTATAGAATCAAAAATGACAATGACAGTACTACTTTCAAAACAGGTGAGTTATTTATTATTTTAAAATTGGGCTTGCCTATATCTGTCAGTTGCTACCTCAAGTAAATATTTTGTTTAATTGTCAATACAGATGATATCTCATTGTAAAGGTCATGTCTTTGAGGCTATTTTTGAGTCTAATATAGTATTGCATGCTTTGTAAGAGCATCTAGAACACACAAAAGATTTGACTTACTGTCACCAAAAATGAAAAAGATGCTAATGGTAAATATTTTTTAGTAAAAATCAGAATGGTTTGACAAAATTCAGCATATTTTATAAATTCAAAAATAAATAGTTTTCAAAACACAAACAGGCTCGATGCTATGAAAAAAAAGGCAATGGGTTAGAAGTCTGAAATTCTAATTTTGAATTTACCATATATAATACTTGCTAGCAATGATTTTCCTGCTGACAGTGAGTCCCTTACTCATTAAATCAGAGAAAGAAATGACACAGGACCTGCTTTACTCACACGATGGTAAGAGGTACAAATATGGCATTATGTGAGACAATTTTTATAAAAGATAGAACAGTAAGCACCAGGTGGTGCTTCTCTGTGCTTTCTCTCACACAGGGATACTTTAACTTGAAAAAGGCAACATTGAAGCAATATTTATCCAAAAAGGTTTCTTAATGCAACATCAACAAATGGCTCCTTATTATCTTACTTATTTACCTACTCAAAAAATATTTGATTTACATACCAACTTTTCGATCATTTTGGTCACTGTGTTGGAAAGTACACTTGTTTGCCCACTTTTGGGAATTTGCTGCTGCCTTGCTGTCCCATTGCTAAAACGAAGAGGGAGAAGAAGATAGGCACTTAATGAATTAAGACACAAAGGTGCATAAGGTTTGTAATGAGATTGGTGGCTTGATTCACATCATTATAACTTTTTCTGTACATGCATATTCTGGTTATTCTTATAATCAAAGACCATTTTTAATGTGTCCTTTTCTACTCTCAAAGAAACAGAGATAGTATGGCTACCCCAAGTAACTGTGAAGTCTAAGATAGTTAATAATCTATGGATGATAGCATAGCAGGAATACCTAAAAACTTTTAGCAGTGGTCCTATCCTAAATGTTGATAAACATGTAGATGTATTGATATGATTTTCCTATAATACTGAGCTGGCATACTTCATTCTTAGTTGTGTGTGTGTGTGTGTGTGTGGGGGTTGTTTGTTTGTTTGTGTGTGTGTGTGTTTGTTTTTGTTTGTTTTTGTTGTTCTGGTTTTGTGTGTGTGTGTGTGTGTGTGTGTGTGTGTGTGTGTGTGTGTGTGTGTGTTTCCAGCACTTAATATGTTTCTGAGACATTTGGCTTCTGGCACTAGGCCCAGAATGATCTGTTATTTACCCTAAATGGCATTGGCCCTAAAGGAAAAATGCCTTTCTGATTATAGATTAGGAGGAAGTAATATCAAAAAAACATAATGGCCCCTAACTGGATGGCCAAAGATTTGGTTTTAATTCTGCCTCCATAACTTAAATAACCCTGTAAAATGGACAAGTTGTTTAACAATATAAAGTACAATTAAGAATTTGTGCTGCCCAGCCGCCACTGTGGTTCAGTGATTGAGCATTGACCCAGGAGGTCACAGGTTTGATTCCTGGTCAGGGCACATGCCCAGGTTGCAGGCTTAATTCCCAGTGTGGGGCATGCAGGAGGCAGCTGATCAATGATTCTCTCTCATCATTCATGTTTCTATCTCTCTCCCTCTCACTTCCTCTCTGAAATTTATATATATATATATATATATATATATATATATATATATATATATATAATTTTTTAAAGAATTTATGCCAACTTAAATAGCCCAATAAAATGAACAAGTTACTAAATCATTATAAAGTACAATGAAGAATTTCTGCCTGGTCCCATGGAGTTAGTGAAGGTCAGGTTTTGGACCCCTCACTTGCATAGGCTTTACCAAGGTTGTACTGGGGGACCTCAGAATATGCATAGAATTAAAAAAAAATTTTTTTCAGTGGTAAGATAGTTGTGGACTCTCTTCCTGAAAGAGGGTTCCTTTAAGCTTAACTTGGATTTTCCTGTCTAACAACATGTCTCGGAGGAAAGGTCAAGGGTTCAAGGTGAAACCTATGTGGGTGGAGTGGACATTAATAACAAGAATGATGTCGATGGTGATTGTACGTTGTCTGACTGTATGGAGAGGAGCTGCTGAGAAAAGCTGCCTATAACCAGAGAACTTACTGGGTTAAAACAAACAGAAAAGGCCAGTTGAAGTGTCTAACCTCAGGGCCAGGATTCCTAGAAAGGGCTTTAGGGGTTCCCTGGGCCCCCTGAAATTATATGCAATTTATATATGCACACAATATATAATTTCTCTGGGAAGAGAAATTTCACTCACAAAGACAGAGAACTCTGAAATACACATGATAGTGAATCAATTCTGACAGATCCCATTATTCTAGTGAATAGAACCTCCAGTGGTAGGATGATACACAATTTTTAAGCAAAAATACTGTAGTATGAGGGATGAGGAAAAGTATTTCTGCCTTGTCTATAACAAAAGCTCTAATGAAATATCAGAGACAGAACTTCCTAAGTCACCAAGTTCTTCGAGGCCTTTTTTTAGTAGGAGACTGTGATTATCACAACTGGCTCAAGCCACTTTCCTGTGTGGCCGCCTCTTACCATCTTCAGCATGTTTCTGGCCCTTGGAAAGACTGATCTTCTGACGTCATTGTGTTTCTTTACGATCTCTCTTTGCACTACTTTTTGAGTGGTGTTTATAGCAGCAAGAGTTGACTCCTAAACGAAAGCCAAATCAGAATTAGTTTTTAAAAGTTTGAAAAATTGCATATGAGTAAATTAATTCAAGAGCACAAAGATTATTTCCGAAGTATTCAGTTCAAACCAATATTAATTTTTAAGCATTGCCAATGAATCTGAACCAAAGTTATATAATTTTTAAGTAGAAAAGAAATAGTTTTGAATTTTGAGAGTGCCAATGTTATTCATGTCATGATAATTCAAAACACCTTTGAGGCCACAAATACCACTTTTTTGTATGCAGAGACATCACAATGTGATTGGTGTAGACATCTGAGTGATAGCATAATGACAAAGTTATAAGATAGGAACCCTTAAGACATTCTCATTCATAGTCAGTCTGCACTAAAGGAGTGATAAGAGGAAGGTCAGGTGATTCTACACCTGAAGGGGAAACTTTGACCTGACATGTTACCTGTATTCAAAAAAAGAATGTTTAGGCCTAGTCCAAATGCATTCAATATTTTAGTCAATGATTTACCTATATTATGTAGCAGATTTTTTGGAATTAATCAAAAGACAGTTTTATAATATTTAAAGAAAAATCTCCAAGGCAATTTGGAGGGAGAAAAGCCATGCAATTAATGGGTTATTGCCGGTTTCGTTCATTTTAGTAACAAAAAATATAATTAAGGTATTAACCAGATGCTTATATTTTTGGTATAACTTTGTGCGTGGGTGGGGGGTTGAGAAGCAGGGTCTAAGCCTAGAGGCAAGTAGGCTGTGTAATTAATCCATAAAGTTTACACAATGTGATGGCTTAAATTTGCACAAGTCTGATGTTATACCAGCATAAGCAATATTTTGAAGTATAATTTGAAACAGACAAAACCCTGTATTGATTGTTCCTGACATGCTGGAATAAGTTATTTCTCTTTCCACAAGTACTGAGATTTTGCAAAGTTCTCCAAATACTGGAAGCATAGGTCTGACCATATTTATATTGCCACTGTCTTCTTATGCATCCATTTCTCCCACCTGCACGTATATTCCTAAGGACAGGGACCAAGACTGAATCTCAGCATACCCACAAATTCAGCACATTCCCAGCCACTGATTCCTAAGTTGAAAAGGATGCACATGAATGTTAGCAGTGACCAATCAAAGCATAAAATAACAACCCTGGATATATCCTATTAACCCTCAAAACCCATTTAAAATTGTTTTATTTCAAAGCATATTAGAATGTGGTGCCAGAAAAAGAAGTAATTATTTCCTACTTCTTATCCCATCTTGTTTTGTAGATAACAATTCTACTAAAAAGTAGATGCCTTTGTTTCTTTTTTTAATAAATATTATTGAAAGTTTTATTAGGTGATGAGAAATATGAAAGTGTTGAAAATAAAATGGATAAAATATGGTTTCTATCTATCATTAAATAATTGATATTGAATAGGCAATATGACATAAATTATTATAATACCACATGATAAATAAAACAATAGGTGTGATGTACTAGATACAGAGGAAGGAGGGATCAATTTTTCCTGATTGGGGTTAGAAAAGGCTTCATAAAAGATGGCCTGGATTGGGGTTTTAAGAGGTGAATAATGTCTTGTAGGCACCTTCAGAAGGCACAGAAAGCCCTGGGCAGAGGGAATTTAGAGCATCGGACCAGCAAACATGTAGTGTTGCAAAAGATCTAACAATGGTGCCCTTTTTAATGATTTTATAAATGAAAACTAGGATATGGGTGAGAGAGGTCATAGGGTATCAGAGGTCATATGACAGAAAATCTTTAGGAAAGAAATTGAGAAGACAGTAAATGACTTGAATCAAGCCCTGAGTGATGAATATATTGTCTTCAGATTGAAAAGTTGATAAATAATGATTGCATTGCTGAATGTCAAATGAGGTCTGATGCAGTGTCAGAATTCTCTTTCTTGGGGGTCCTAGCCAATCTTGTCTGCCCAATGCTAAAGTCGGGTGTATGAACAGACATCCAGAAGCAAAGGTCCTCACATTCAGAGGTTCTCTGATCAGGAAATACAATAGATTTTTTATATGGGCACTACACATCAATTAAAGAGGGTAATTGATACTTCTCTTGAGATTATTGAAGTGAAACAACATCTTAGAAATAATTAGAGCATATTATCTTTCAAAAATTAATTGTAAAAGTTATGAAAAAACCCAAATGCTTCATATTTCCAGTAAATTTTCTTTTTCTTAAATTAAACCAAAAGATATACTTATTCTCATGCAGTAACTATGAAAATTAAATGTAGTGATGTATGAAAAGAAGTTTTGTTAGTTTGAGATTATGCAAGTATATTGTTAATTTTCTATGGGGATCATATTGAACTAGGTTAAATAAAAGTAAATCAGAAAATGATCTTGAGATACGAGGAATTTCTTATAGTTTTTAAGTGCATAGAACAGTGCTGTCAACAGAAAAATAATTAAAGCATCAAAGGTCATATTAATTATTTGGTGACTACTTTACAAAATAAAAAAAATAGGTGAAATCAATATTTTTAATATTATCAGCCCGTGGCAATAGGCTTTCCTTCCCCTGGCTGCTGGCACCAGTTTTCCTCTGGCACCCAGGACCAAGGCCTTTGCTCCAGCCAGAGCCTTCAGTCTTTGCTCTAGCTGGAGTGCTGCTCCTATAGTTCTCTCCATCCCCCACCCTCCTTCTCATAGCAAGCTTCTTGTACTGCCCAGCTGCTCTGCACCTGCATGCATGCTACCCAGCGGCCCAGAGCAGCTGGAGGGCAGGGCCGTTGCCATCTTTGTTGGGTTAATTTGCATATTCACTCCTGATTGGCTGGTGGGCATTGTGAAGTGATGGTCAATTTGCATGTTACTTTTATTAGTGTAGATATTTTTGAAACATATTCAAAATATATGCTTTCGTCATGCAATCCATATTAAAATTATTAATGAGATATTATTTTACCACCCTTTTTTAACTAAGTCTTTAACTCTGCTATGCATTATATTTATTCAGATCTCAGTACTGACTACCCATATGTCCTGTGTTCAATACCTTCATGTGTTTAGGGGCTACCATACCTTGTGATGTCCTAGACACTCTCTCCCTTTTTACTTTGGAAAATTAATCTAATTGCTTGCTATCCTTTAGGGTTGCCTGATCTGAAAATATTTCAACCTCAACCATACCTTTCCATTTGCAGGAAAGAATGGAAGCAACACAGCAGCCAGAAACAGCAACACCGGGAACAACGCCATTGCTGGTAAAACAAAACAAAGGCAACAGGGACATGAGTTGGAATTTTAGTGCATGAACTTCTGAGGAACATGGTGATGGAGGAGGGGAGGAAATATGAAACAAGGTAATGATATAATTTATCCTAATTTCATTAGTAATGTAACAGAGAGGATCTGTCACAGGAAACCTATAGAATGATATGGATTCAGCACCTGAAGCAAGCTTCTAATGGAGACAACAAAGAACAAACAGATGCCCTTTACTGAAATAGTGCACCTGTAAATATTAAAGTTCCACCACCCAGTTTTACCCGAGTTCCACTGTGTTGTTTATGTAGCAACTCTTTTCAAGGTCGAGGAATGGCTTCTTCACATTGCCCATTTAGGGGTCATCATAGCTCCCAACTGTTACTATTATGGGGATACTACTGCACTAACCCTTGCTAGTTTCATTGACCCTCCTTTTCTTTATACTAAATATCCCCTTATTAACATCTCTTCAATTTACCCCTCGGCATGAGCCATTTCTTCATTCTGATTGATATATTTGCCATTTGTAGAACCCTAGATAAATCCACTAAGAAATAGTAATTTAAAAACAAAATACTTTCTACCATTTTCCTCAGTCTTTTCCATGTGTTGTCATCCATTCCCATTCAAATCTTCCTTTTTATTACAATGCCTTAATTTTTTAAAAAAAAAAGTAATACTTTCCTTTGAATTAAAAACAGAAAAATAACTTTTAAGGGATTATTGACCCTGTACTAGTATTAATACCTTTCATATGTTCACATCTTTTGCCTCACTAATTCAAATTCCTGAAGAAATAATATATACTGGAAAAACTTTAGTGTACATTTTTATCACATTAATATTCATAAGGGTAAAACAATTACATACTCACTAACAGGGAGATAAAATGTCTAAATAAATTAAAATACATCCTTTTCTTAGACAACTAGTAGCCCAGTGCACAAAATTTGTACACATTAAAATGGAATTAGCCCTAACTGGTTTGGCTCAATGAAAAGAGCATCGGTCTGCAGACTGAAGGGTCCCAAGTTCCATTCTGGTCAAAGGCATGTACCTTGATTGTGGGTACATCCCCAATAGGGGGTATACAGGAGGCAGCTGAGCGATGTTTTTCTCTCATCAATGTTTCTAACTCTCTATCCCTCTCCCTTCCTCTCTATAAACAAACAAACAAATAAACAAATAAATAAATAAATAAAATATATAAAAGAGAACTAATTAGATGAAACATTTTAATAATGCTATTTGCCCTTTCTCGGTAATAGAAGTGTCAGAAATGAAAGAAAATTAGTAAAATGTACATGAAAATCTTCTACCTGTCAGAGTCTGGAGCACACCACAGGACCTAGAGTCAAATTCCTGCCCACCCGAGTGTCCTTGAAATTGAGTGAGACCCAGACCCGGCCAGCCCCACCCCTGTCAAGCCCCGCAGGGCAGAGGGCACAGCCTCAGGTCCCTAGTTATGCTCTTCTGGGTGGGGGCACAGTCTCAGATCCTCCATCAAGCCTTGTTGAGAGGTAGGCAAGGCCTCAGGTCCCCCAGCCTTGGTTCCGGGGCAGGGGGCACAGCCTCAGGTTTCCTGTCAAGCCCCACCAGGTATGGGGGGGGTGCAGCCTCAGGTCCCTCATCAAGCCCTGCCAGGGTGGGGATAGAGCCTCAGGTCCCTCGGCCCGGCCTGGCCTTAGTTCCCCCAGCCCCAGCAAGAGGGAATGAGGGTGTGAGGGCGTGAGGGCGTGAGGGCATGAGGGCACAAGGTAGTTAGGGCGTGACCACCATTTGCATATTAGCTCTTTATTATATAGGATATGAGAGATAAAATTATATTTATGATGGTTTTATAACAAGGAAAATGTGTAAGCTTCAAAATTAAGTTAAAAAATAACACCAAGGTACATTGGGTGATTCTTAGACTTCTATAATAGATAAAAGTCTGTGCCTTCCCAAAATTCATATCTTCAAGTACTAATCTCCTGTGAGGCTGCATTTCTGTTCGGGTCTTTAAAAAAGTAGTTAAGGAAAAAGTAGTTAAGGACATAAAGATGGGACCTGATCCAATGAGATTAGTGTTTATATAAGGTGACACCACAGAGTGCATTTGCTCTGTGTATATTCTCTCTCTCTCTCTCTTTTTCTCTCTCTCTCTCTCTCTCTCTCTCTCTCTCTCTCTCTCTCTCTCTCTTCTCTGCACTCACAGAGAAGAGGGCATGTGAGAATGCAGTGAGAAGGGGGCTGTCTACAAGCCTGGAAGAGAAAAATCACCAGAAACTAACCATACTGGTACCTTGGTCTCAGATTCTAATCTCTAGATCTGTGAGAAAAGACATATCTGTGATGTACAAGTCACCCATTCTATGGTCATTTGTTATGGCAGCCCAGGCAAGCTCATGTACATTCTTTTATTTAATACGAGTGCACAAAATTTATGCACTCAGATTGGGGGTGGGGGTGGGGGGGTCTCAGCCCAGCCTGCACCCTCTTGCAATTCTGGGAGTCCTCAAGGGATGTCCAACTGATAGCTTAGGCCCACTCTCCACACTAGCCAGCCATGAGCCCACCTTATGGTTGAACGGCACCCCTCCTTGTGGGAGCACACTGATCATCAGTGGGCAGCTCCTACATTGAGAATCTGCCCCCTGGTGGTCAATGCATGACATAGCAATGGGTCATTCTGCCGTTTGGTCAATTTGCATATTAGCCTTTTATTATATAAGATTTGAGGACTACCTTATTTTCAAGAATGTTCCAAGGTCCATAGCATATAGTAATTTGAAATCTTCTGGAGCTATAGATGTGTGAACAAGGCACTGAGGTAGCAGGGTATCTGCAACTACCACCAAGCATCCATATCTCAAGTCAGCTTTGCTTCTCTCATGGGTGTATATTAAAAAAACTCTGTGACATAAGTATTTGGGGCCAATTTTAAGATAAGGTAACATAAAAGAAAATATTGTGTAGTGGCATTGATGATCTCCATGTGTAGGGATAACTAGAAGTGAGTACATTATGATTCTCCTAGAGGACAGTAACAGCAACAGGACCTTATCCTCTTCTGCCACAAAACTCATGCTCAGACACAAAGCTAAGCAAAGAAAAAATGAGGTTAAACAGAAATACAAGAGAATGAGTTTATCTTCATGTGATAAAACATTTTTTTCTTCATGAGTCTGCATTCCCATAATTATAATAATTAGAAAAAGAAAACATATTTGTGCCAAAGAGTCTATTGACTCTTGGAAAATTCCTCTGTTTTTGTCTTGGTTACTTTTATTTGCCACCTGGTGAAGCTAATAGGTCAGGCCTTATGATGTCCAAGTAAGAGAAGTACAGAGGCATAGAGGTATTAAGTGACCTCCTGACACTCTCATCACTAGTATGTAGCTGAGGCAGAACCCAAGATTTATTTTAACTTTAATATCTATATCCCACTGAACTGTACTATACATTTTGGGGGCTGAGGTTGCAAAATAAATAAATATTTTGCCTTGGCAAAAATAGTCATGCATTACTATAAATCTTTTGGCACCTGATAAATGATGATTACTCAACATGTTTAGGAATTTTTTTTTGAAATTAACAATGCTAACCATTAAGTACAATCTTGACCTTCAAATATAAAATAAAACTCCTAAGACTTTGAGAGTTCAAATAATATTTTCTTAGGATGTCATTATAAGTTAAAAACATAACACCATTATAACTTTTATTTATGATACTTTGTTGAGTTAATGAAGGACTTTGTTGGCATTTTAATAAAGTGTTTTTGCCCTTTAAATAAGTAGAATGGAAAGGGGGGGTGTTGAAATGGAAATCACTAGATTGATAACATATTTCTGTAAGGGTTCTGTACTACATAAAAATTATATAGGTGCTTCTATAATTTTTTTCAATTTAAGCTCTTCTATACAATTAAAATTTTACGATGAGAAAAGGTTTATGTTGTTTGTATTGTAGTTTTTACGTAGAACAGAGGAAGGAACAAAGAACAGAATGAAAATCCAAAGACAAAAAAAAAGAAAAACCTGGAAAGAAAAATGAACTTATTTCTGTACAAAGCAAACACATAAATTGAATGTCAAAAATAGCCTTTTTTCTTTCTCAGAGATACCTGGCCCCCCACTGAGCAAACCTGAACTCTGGCACTTGTATTGGGATAAAGAAATGAGAGCAATGCGAGTGTTAGGAAGCCCGGGTGTTTGTTATTGTTGTCACCTGGCGTTCTGTTACCCGCTCCTCTCTAACTAGGTGAAATTTACAATCTTCATTTGTCAAATAAAAACATGGTGACATAGGGCTTAAAGTTATAAATAACATTAAAAAATTCGAGATCATTAAATATCACCATATTCATACAAGTCCTAGCATTACCGTTATTACTGTATTATCATTTGTGATGCTTGCTCCCTTATGTGGGAGTGTTGTCAGCAAAAATCTCAGGGATGGTGTTTGCTGGAGACAGCCACCTGGCCCAACATCATGCTTCCTTCCCAGGGTACCCTCATCCTATGTCAATCAGGTATGGGGTGTAAAGGCCCAACCTCCCCAGTCCAACTAGAGACAGCTCTGAAACATTATCCTAGCTTCAGGACCACTCCGAAGTAGTTGATTGAATCCTCCAATGAGATGGCCTCCCAGCTTGATTTCTTACCTTTGTCCACTCTTACTTCCTTCTTTTCCCTTCCTGGGGAATTAATCCCAAGTACATCTCTTAATAAACTGTGTCTCAGGTTTTCTTCAAGTTGCCTGGGGAACCCAGCCGAGGGCATCATTCATTAGATAATCTTTATTCCATTACACTAGTCAGCCTAGTCTCCCTATTTACACTTTCATTCTCTTTTCCTTTGATCGTATGCCCTATATGTGTTTGATCATATTAATCCTCAAACCTGGATTCTAACCACATTTTTTTCGAGAACATTTCAAATTCTCTCTCTTTCCAAAGAAACTCGCAGACTAACATCAAGAACCCTGAATAGGAGCATTTAAAGTTCAACCAGTAAACTTTTGCTTATAATCCACTTTTGTCTTTCTTTCTGATTATGTGCAGGATCTACTTTATCTCTATTTTGCCATGTACATTTGCCCTTTTTTCCATAATTAGATGTGTGTTTGGAAAAGGCAGAATACAATCATCACATTATTCTAAATTCCTTGTGGCTAAATTGTCCTTGCTCAGCGGTGGGTGGCGCTGTAGAAGCTGTTGGAGTCTCCAAGAGGACTCTCTGAGGCCGTGGGCAGGCCCCTCCCTCTGGCCTGGCCTCCAGTGAGCCTCTCGCAGAATTTGAGCAACAGAGAAGAACTGATTCTCCTTTTTATTTTCTTACAAGTTAATGACAATCAGATATTGTTCTTTCTTTTAACACACATTCATCAAGTTTTACTCACTTTGTCTAGGGTGGCATGCTAGATATTGATGACCATGATCAAGTGAACAAGATATGATTCCTGCCAGCCCTCAGGATCTAGCTCACCCATTAGGGGAGTCCATCCTACACGTACCCAGAGTGCGGGCTATTTGGACTGTCCCATGTGTGCAAAAGTGGAGGCTAAAGTTTCATTTCCTTTTGCCCTGACAAATTGTGAGGCTTTTGCAAAAATATGGGGGAGAATCTAGACTAACACAGGGCTCTGGAAGGAAGTATTAAGGATGAGGTAAATGTGATTAAGATTTAGCATCAGCTGGAAGGCTAAAGCATTTAGCTCCACTCCCAGCCTCTTCCCCTGGTGCTGAGAGACTATGGTGTACTTTGTTTTCATGGAGGAGAGTCCCACAGAAAAACATTAGAAAGAATTAGGTAAATAACTATCTCTTCCTGTCATGAACTTGCATGGAGACAATTTCTAAATGTGTATATTAATAGTTACACATTTCCTCTGCTAATTACTGAGGGACACATGTTTTAATTCTTTTAAAATAATTTCCCTAAAAAGAATTATTTTGCTAAGTAAGCTCGCAAGTTTCTCTCCGTTCTGCTGCTTGTAATTCTCCTTTTTAAAAGAGATTAGCAATTTCTCTTAAGTGTGATTAGAGAAAAGCCAAATTGAGACATTTCAAAGGTGTGTAGTTACAATTGTTGAGGGCTTACTACTATGTAATTACAGATTGCAGACAGCAAGTTGTGTCTTTCTGAAGCATAAATGCAAATGATACAATTAAGCTGTAATATACTGCTCCTTCCTCACACTGATATTAGGGCCACCGCTATGTTTCAAAGGCTCACTTGAAAATAAATCCTCTTCTCAAATAACATATCACTATTTATTAACTTAATAAAAACATATATTTATAAAAATTATAGCAAAATTAGAAAATTCATAGACTAAAAAAAAATCATGTAGCAAAAATATCTTACTAAATTTAATCCCTAGTTATAGCTAAAATAAAAACGAAAACAGGAGATATCATTAATTTGTAATGACATTATACTAAACTAGAGGCCCGATGAATGAAATTCGTGCGAGAGTAGGCCTTCTTTTCCAGGCTGCCGGCACTGGCTTCCCTCTGGCACCCGGGATCTGAGCTTCCCTCACAGCCTCGGCTTTATCTGGAAGATAATTGGCATATTACACTTATATTATTATAGGTTTCTACAAAAAATATTCTAGTTATGGGAGAGACAAGGAGCATTCCATTTAATATTGGGAACAAGAAAAAAATGACTAATGTCAGTGTTATTGTTCAACATTGAAGTGGAGAGTTTCTGGTCAAAACCATAACAAAAAGAATTATGGTATATATATATATATATATTCAGTATTCTTGAAAAGGAAGAGATAAATATTATTATGCTTAAATGGTATAATCACCTACCTAAAAATTACACCATTACAAAAATACTATTGTCATATACCAGCAACATTTAACTAGAAAATAAAAAATTTTAAATTGATGCTATCTATAACTGTAACAAAAACAATAAGGTATATTTATGACATAACCAAGAAATAAATCCTTTTGGGAAAAAACTTTAAAACCCTAAAAAAAAGCCCTATATGGTTTGTCTCAGTAGATAGAGTGTCAGCCTGTGGACTGAAGGGTCCCCAGTTTGATTCCGGTAAAGGGCACATGCCTGGTTTCAGGCTCAATCCCCAGGGGGGGGGGGGGGGGGGGGTTTGTGTGTGTGCAGGAGGCTGCCGATCAATGATTCTCTCTCTTCATTGATGTTTCTATCTCTCCCTTTCCCTTCCTCTCTGAAATGAAGTAAGTAAATAAATAAATAAAAATCATAGTAAAAGACATAAAATATCTGCATAAATTGTTTTCCATGCTCCACTTTGTAGGTGTTGATATTATAAAGACAACAAATTGAATTAAACTAATATAAAAATTCTTTATAAGTCCAATAAAAATTCTGATCAGTATATGAATAATGAAGCAAACCTTTTATAAAAAAAATTAACGTGGGTATCTTTTCATATTTAATTATTAAGATAGACTTCAAACTTACGTTGACAAACGTGATATTATTGAAGGAGCAGACACAGGGACCTAGAGAGGTGAGCAGAAATTTGAAGAGACAAACCAAATAAGGTAGCATAAAAGTCTATTTAGGAGAAAGAACAAGTTACCTACCTAGCATATAGTGTTATAAAAACTAGCTCACTATATGGAGGAAAATAAAACCAGATCCTTTTATATATATATATATATATATATATATATATATATATATATATATATATTGATTTTTTACAGAGAGGAAGGGAGAGAGATAGAGAGCCAGAAACATCGACCAGCCGTCTCCTGCACATCCCCCACTGGGGATGTGTCTGCAGCCAACGTACATGCCCTTGACCGGAATCGAACCCGGGACCTTTCAGTCCGCAGACCGACGCTCTACCACTGAGCCAAACCGGTTTCGGCAAAACCAGATCCTTTTTAAGCATCACCTATAAAGGTGAATGTAGAGGGATTAAAATTATTAATAGGTTAAAAAAAAAAAGAAAAAGAAAGTTTACCTGCAACTTTTCAGGGCTATTCCTTTGCCCTAGGTGAGTCACAGGTAACAGTGCCGTTATATGGAGCTGGTGTGAAGCACTGTACCCTCTTTTGGGCTCATTTAAAACTCCTAAGAGTCTAGGTATTAGATGATGTTACTCAGTACCCCAGTTTAAGGCTAGCAGTCCCAGGATCTGAGATTTCATTATAAAATGCCAAGAACATGCTGCAGAACTGGGAGATAAACCCACACATTTTTACCTCAAAGCCCTCACCCCTGAGGGAAGGGAAGATAAATGTTTTAAGCAATACAGACCATAAAAGAGGCAATTAAAAGCATTAATGCACATGCATGTAATGTGTGCAAAATAGGTATAGACACACACACATACACACACACACACACACATCACAGCATAGAAAAGTATCTGATGCATCATTTTCAAACTCTCAACGTGATATGTGATCTTCATTCTGATCACTTTCATCTCACCACTTACTTGTGAGAAAGAAATCAGCTTAGATACTATACAACGTTTGCAAACTTTCTGGACTTTGTCATGAGGGAATTCTGTACAAATTTATAAATGATAACTGCTTTGACAGTTCTGAAAAGCGATTTTTTTTCTTTTTTCAAGGTTTCCCCCCTCCCCTCCCTTTGCTTGAATTTATTAAACATTGTTCTCTGTAATTCTGAGCAGTATCTGATTTACACACTGTTTGAGAGTTCTGCCGCTCTTCCCCCAATTTACTTTTTCCTCAAACCCAAGCCCTATTCAGTGGTCCCAAGTGACTGCACACACATCAGAGAGTAGCTCCGGGCTGAAAACATGTCATCAGTTTAATTTCCTTTGATTCTCTTCCAGCGAGTTAGTCATCCAGGCAGACACTGGTATTGGCTTTAACCAGTGGAAGAGGCAATTTCAGATCTTTCTCTGGCAATAGTATACTACTAAGTCCTCCCTAAGCTCCCTGCCTCACATTCAGCCACAGAGGAGAAAAGCCTTAATAAAATATTTTGAAAGTAAAATCTCTCCTCTCTGAGGTAAATAACTTCTTACATGTCATGCTTAAGTAGCTCTATGGTTTTTTAGTTTCTGTTTCTCCAGAGTCACTTCTTATTATTAGGAATATAAAATTCTATGTGGAAATTGCTTCCTTATATAAAACATACAAAAAAGACATTCTACTTAAATTACTTATGCAAATTAGCTACCTTAGGAGATTCACTTTTAACTGGAAAATTTCAGAAAGTCTTAAAAAATTTTGTATTAGTTGAGTGCATTTTATGGGAGAAATTGTATCTTATACTAATAATCTTTAATAGAATATTTTTTATCTCAAGTAAATACTATAATTTGGTTTTGATGGATTTAAAACTATGAATAATAGCTTCCCATCCTTATTTTAATAATGTCTGTATTAATACAGATATATGAATATCAGTAAATTATTAATATATGGACATATGCACACACATATGGCCATACTTTTTATTTTTCTAATAAAGGAAGTTTTAGTATAATTGTTTCCAAAAATCATAGACATGGGAATGAGTAATGTTGCTTATTTTATAAGAAAAAGCAAAAAATTCATACAGATTTTAAATTTTATACAAGTTCTTGTGCAATATTAGAGCTATTAAGAAGAATATAATAACATAGGTCATTATTCTCTATAATAGTTGTCAACAGAGTTTTGAAAATTATAGATTCATTTACTGGCCTCATTTGCCACTGCCAAGGCATAAACACATTGGCAACATAAAATGTTCACCTCAAAATAGAGCAGCTGTCACTTACAGTTGGTGCTGGGAGCAAGGTAAAGTATCTGCTTTATCTCTAGGAAGAAGGAGAATGGAAGGAGAGAAGGTTCGAGAGGTATATATGCATTACACCTATTTCCTGTCTTTGGCAAACACTGTTTGTGCAAGTAAGTCTAAATCAACAAAGTCTGAAACAGGATTTGTCATACCAATGTCTCAAATTTTATTGTTGGTTGTCTAACTGAAGTTTTGAAATTCTCATGGCCTTTTTAAATTAATGGTTATTGCAAAGTTAGCTCTTGTATACTTACTCTTTGGAGCTCATACACTATAATAATTTATCCTCATTTTTGCCAATTAATATTTTGGCAATTCTGAACCAGATTATGCTCATTATAGCATTGGAGTTTTCAAAATTACTTCTGCATTACTTCAAGAAAGCTAAGCTTATCATTTTCATGAATTATGGAGAATTCAGTATTTTCTTATAAAGATCTAAAATATTCATTCCTATTCTGTTGGACCTTATTGTTTTTGGAGAACAATTAATATTTTATATTTATATAAGGTCACAAGGCCTTTCAAATGGCAAAAGACCCAACAACAGTTGGTATTTCTAAGTTTTAAATTTTCTTGATATTAAAATTATTTTTTTCTGCTTGTGTGGATTTCAAGATACTATTGATCTAAATTGCATAGCAAGTTATCAGCATTTGATTCCTTTCATCCATAAGGCTTTAATTATTGCAGGTTTGTTTCCATATCTCACTAATGAAGGAGGGTGGGCTAATAATTTCAGATTCTCTCTACCTCTAAAGTGTAATGATTTCAAATATTGCTTTTTTATAACTGAAAGTGTATAAATAAATCACAGGTAGTGCATGTATAGCACTGTCTTGTGATTCTGGGTGCTATTGTTAGCATATAGTTCGAACAATGTGGAGCGAAATTCAATCATCTCTGTTCATTTCAAGTTTATAGTAGCTTGATTGAATTACATGGCAAATGTTACTAGAGCAGACCAGTGCCATATATATGCCTAATATGCTGTGTCCGGCCATTCAACCATTTGAGCATTCTCTATGATGCACACTGACCACCCAGTGCTCTGACAGGTAGGTTAGCTTGCTGCTGGGGTCTGGCAGATAGGGACTGGGCAAGACGGGCCAGACACCAGCCCTGCACCTCTGATGGTCCCTCTCCAGCCAGGCCGAGGGACCCCCACTGGTGCATGAATCTGTGTATTTGGCCTCTAGTATATATATTACTTACTATTAGCATTTACTAGTTATTCTCTAATTTTATATCTGTAGTTATGATTAAGTGAACACTACATTCACTATGCTATATGGGTATGCTGCTTGTCAAATATTAGCACTTTTATTATTAATTTAAACAAATATTTAAAAATTGTGGATCTTTAAGGTTATAAAATGCCACACACATACTGTATTGACAGATTGACCTTAAGCTTTCAAAATTGTTTGAAAACACCTTTGTTCCTTCACCTCCCAGGATTAATATGTTCTTTTCTGTATGAACATCAAACATGGTCATTGTTGGTCCTTCATGACCCAGCCCTCCCAATTTAAAAAAAAAAAGATATATTTAATTGATTTTTTACAGAGAGAAAAGGAGAGAGATAGAGAGCCAGAAATGTCGATGAGAGAGAAACATCCACCAGCCGCCTCCTGCACATCCCCCACCAGGGATGTGCCCGCAGCCAACGTACATGCTCCTGACCGGAATCGAACTCAGGACCTTTCAGTCCACAGACCGACGCTCTACCACTGAGCCAAACTGGTTTCGGCAGCCCTCCCAATTTTATTAATGAGTATATGCCAGCTCATTTGTATTTGTATACCCAGAGTTTATGTTAAAAGGGCAAATCATTTGCTCCTGTGTATATAGTTAATTCCAACTGTTCTAATGGAATTTGTAATTGAGTTTTGATCTCAGTAACCATTGCTATTAACCAACACATTCTGTTTAGGGAATGTTGTTTTTCTTCTTAAAATTAATTCTCTATTCTTGGCTTTTGACCAGTGTGCTCTGACCAGATTGGCTACATAAAACACAGGTTCTCTTCTTCCCTAACTAGCTGTTGCCTTTTGGGCAGTTCTGTGCTGACTACCCCAAACTAACTAGTTATTCAAAGGTAAGTAGCATCCCTGCCTTATAGCTGACACTCCATGGCCCAGGTTTCTATGACTTTTCCTTCCTAGGTAACAACTATGTACTAGTTAAGAGCAGTCTTTGGAAACTGTCAGGTCTGGGTAACCTCCAAGTTCCAATTTTCTCTTCTGTAAAATGTTGATTTTTATATCATAGGTTTCCTTTAATGATTGAAAGCATAGTATATATAAAATTCTTAAAACAATGCCTGGCATATGATGCTCAATAAGTGGCACTAATATTTTTATTGTTATTTTCAGCAAAACCTTGTATTTGTTGAACATCTAAAATTGTATATAATAAAAGCCTAGTTAGCATCACATGCCACCTCATCACAAGATGGCTGCCACAAGATGGCCGCCACAAAATGGCCAGCAGGGGAGAAAAGTTGTGAGTGATCAGGCCAGTTGAGGAGGGGAATCAGGGGTGACCAGGCCAGCAGGGGAGGGCAGTTGGGTACAACCAAGACTGCATGGGAGGGCAGTTAGGGACCACCAGGCTGGCAGAGGATCAGGCTGGCAGGCAGGTGAGTGATTAGGAGCCAGCAGTCCCGGATTGTGCGGGGTCCCAGATTAGGGAGGGTGCAGGCCTGGCTGAGGGACACCCCCCTTCCCCCTTGTAGATGAATTTCATGCACCCAGTCTCTAGTGTTTCTATAAATGCCTTTTGTTTGATACAATTGCTAAAATAGATGTTTTTATAAGATCTTTTCTGTTTATCATGGGAAATAATCAGTATAATTTAAGTAGTCAGTGTTCAAGGTCCAGTTCTATTAGAGACAATCAGGGTAACCTTAGTAAAAAAATAATTGATTATCTCTGGTCTTCTGTATCCTTGCTAAGAATTGAGGAGGATAGATCTAGTCTTATTTTATTATTATTATTATTATTATTATTATTAAATATATATTTTATTGATTTTTTTACAAAGAGGAAGAGAGAGGGATAGAGAGTTAGAAACATCAATGAGAGAAAATCATCAATCAGCTGCCTCTTGCACACCCCCTACTGGAGATGTGCCTGCAACCAAGGTACGTGCCCTTGACCGGAATCGAACCCAGGACCTTTCAGTCTGCAGGCTGACGCTCTATCCACTGAGCCAAACTGGTCTTGGCAATCTAGGCTTATTTTAGAATTAACATTAATTTCACCATGCTCTCATAAATAAAGTTATTTATAAGTGAGGTGTCTTGTTGAATTATTCTTTAATGTATTAATTTAATTTAGTGAGATTAATTTTCATAGAAAGGATCCTTTATGTACCAATTTGTATTGTTCTCTCAGTTGTATTGTTCCCTCAATTCTTATAATTAATTTTACAATGACATCTTTTTTTTAATTAAATATATTTAACATATAACTGGGCAAATTTAAGGTATACAATATATTAATTTTATACATTTATATACTGCAATATGATTGTCATTATAGTGATAGTCCATGTTACATAATTACCCTTTGTTTTTAGTGGGTAATAACTAAGTTCCAGTTTCTTAGCAAGTTTGATGATTATATTGCTGTCCCTATACACTCTACTGAGCATTAGGTGTCTAGGGCTTATTTACTACTCATTATGAATGTGTATACTCTTAAACAATATCTGTCCTATCCCACTTCCCTGTTCCCTGGAAATCATCATTTTACTGTCCATTTTTAAGAATTTGGATTTTTGGATTCCATAGGTAAGTGATATCATATGTACTGCCTTTTTTTGTCTGACTTATCTCACTTTGCATAATGTGCTCAACATCTATGTAGTGGCAAATGGCAGGCTGTCCTTCTTTCTCATGGCTGAATACTATTCATTGTACAAATATACCACATCTTCCTCAATTCATTCTTATCATTCATACACCTAATTGTGTGAGCACAATAGTAAATTGTAAATTATTCATGTGTTATTTTCTTGAGTGTATGAGCAATTTACATCTATACATATACAATATATAAACAAATGTATCTCTTAGATCAGGTTCCTTAGAAATAGAGATTCAGATTAGGTTGCTTGTGGTCTATTGAAGAAGTTTTCTTCAGGAGGGATTGGGAAGGGCAAAGAGCTAAGGAAAAGCGAGCTCTCAAGTAAAGTCTAGCTTTTACCTGATCAACAGGGGTAGAGGTCCAGACGGCCTTTTCTAAGATGTGAGTCCATAGGTCATTAGCAGTGGTGGGAGGACAAGACTTCCTGACAAGGTGTTTCCCATCGACCACATGCATTTCTTCTGAGAAGGGGAACTCATGTGGACACTTGGTGACCAGTGCCCATGGCATCTGGGGTCACAGGCATTGCCCTGGGACAGAATCTCTGTGAGCTATGTAAATAACCTCCACCACTCAATGGGATAATATTTGCATTATTATAATTGGGCTATATTATAAAAGTGATATAAAGAATAGTGAAGGCATTTATCTTCTGCATGACTCAGCTATCTCATCTGAAAAAATGACAGGACAGATTAATTTAAAATCCTTTCCACTCCTAAATTCCTGTATCTGTTTTAGGAAAAGAGAAACAGGGTTCTATTTTTTCTCTTTCTCATGACCTAGATGAATTTATTTGCTAAACAATTGACTTTTATTAGTCTTGATTTAATTACATATACAATAAGAATAAAAATAATACCTAATGTTGTGAGTAAGGCCTTAATAAATTTAATGTATGGAAAACATTTTATAGTGGTATCTTACACATAGTAAGTGTCCCATAAATACTAGCAATCATGAGTGTATGTAAAGTAAAATTAAAATACAACCTGTTAAAAGATCTCTCTCAGAGGAAAGGCAAGGCAGGGGGTGAGGGGAATGGGGGAGATTAACCAGATATTTCATATACATATATGCATAACCCATGGACACAGATAATAAAGTGGTGAAAGCCTGGGAAAAGAGGAGGGTGCAGGATAGGGG